CATCCGAGGTACAAACAAGACAAGAGCCGAGGTCTCCCGACTTGCATAGAGGCACACTATCTCCTCTCAGACGAGTCTCGTAAGGAAGAGAAGTGTTTGGGAGGTGGAAAGTAGAAACTAATTATGGTTGGACACTAGAAAGCTATACGACCCCAACACATTCTCAAATGACATTCCGACCCAATAGAAAAGTCATTTGATGGTATGCCTTAAACACTATGATTGGTTGCCTCTCACGTGAGAACACTAATCTTTCAAATTGAAGCACCTTTTTTGCAAAACTTTTTGGAGTACGGCATTGGGGAGAGTCCCATATATATTTCTGAACCTCGATGGTAGATAGTATCAACACAACCAGGAGGAAACAAAAGTAAAATCCCTCATGCACCAACAAACCTCGTAGCGCTAAACTGCTCACTATAATGTACACCATCTCAATAATATAACAATTCAAAGCACAAGAGAAGTTACATGCAAAGGACAAGGTGTTTGGAACCCTCGTATTTTGAAAATTTTGGCATATATTCTAGGTTCCAAAAACTCTTAATGTAGACCATATTAAACTATTCACCCACGTGTGCTTGGAGCCCTCAATTTTTTGAAATTTGGGAATTCATTAAGACTCCAAAGCAAACATAAAATAGGCCATATCATTCAATCACACTATTAATTCACATATACAAATATCATCGAATGCCCCCCCCCCCCCCACACACACACACATACTTAAGCAAGACATTATCCTCAATGGAAGAAGAATAAGGAGGGTAGAACGTATTTACTAGATTAAGCATAAATGATGGTGGAGGGATTAGGAGGACGGGTGAAATCCTAAATATCGAGTCAACGACAAAACACCACTAGCTCCTCAAAGGTCGAGTTATTGAAGGGAAAAGAAATGCAAACTAGAGTGGTTAGGTTGCCTAGCGCTTCTTTCACGTCACGAGCAGGACAGTGACGCTCAAGATTTGGTTCATCCCAAAACCTCCTTGAAGTTGACGTTCTCGTCGGTGATGTGGAGGCGCAAGTCGTGAGCAAGGAATGCTCTAAATGATGTAGATGGCACGTGGACCTGTGTGAATTGAGGCTCCACCCACGAGACCTCTCTTCTTCCCTTCATTATTCTCTTTGCCCCATACCATGTAGGAAATCATCGATTTACCACCATCACATCCACCATGATGGATCGATGATGGTTTGGCATAGCTTGGCAAAGAGCCGCAAATGGGTCCTTCACGAGAAGTGCATCAAGGTCGGGTGGAAAGGTTTGGTAGCACTTGTAACTTGTAGAAGCTTCATCCACCATGACCTTGTCCATTGATCGGACACCACTTGCCTCCTCAAAATCCCTTCCTTCTTCAAAAGTTTGTTCCTCCCCTTGGGAGCATTCAAGAGTTTCCTCTTCTTCGATGTTTACCTCCTCCACTTCAACCTATTCTCTCACCTTCCCATCCATGTCTCCAAGCACGAATTGGAGGGCAAGTTTCCATGCTAGGTTCTCAATAAGATAATCTTGCTCCTTCAACCTCGAGTCTTGGTCTTCATAGTTGGTCTTAGGTCGAGTAAAGATGTGAGGGACCAAATGAGGTTCTTCGTGTTCATACTCATCATAGGAGCTTTCCCGGATGAGTTCTTCTCAATGTAGTCAAAAGCGAGTTTCTACATAGAAACGTTTTGGTTATCTAGAAGTGTAAAATCGTAAGTTTTTAAGTTTTAAAGCGGAGTTTTTAACTAAATAAGTTGTACAAACTGATATTTTGTGTAGAAGCGTTTTAGTGACCTAGGCTGTGGAGGGAATTTTACTTGGTATGGGCAAGCCTCTTGAAATCCCCAAGGCTATGGTTGTTCTTCATGAAAGAAAGGTTGGTAAAATATCCCAAATCCTAGGCTTCCACCATCTTGATTGCTCCATGAAGTTTCGGGGGAACCACTCTCGAGTGGTGGTGGATACCCCCTCATTTTGGTTTAGTCATATGGATCCATGATTCAATACCTACAAATGCAAAAACACAAAAGAAAATCAAACACACACAACCACCCTTCGGAATGAAGAGTGGGTCAACAAAGCACAAAACAAAAACGGCTAGAGTAACAAACCATAGTGTTTTCTTGATAACCTAGAATTTCCCCAGAAAGGTGCCAAAAATTTGGCTCGGCCTAACTACGACTTCCAAATCGAAGGCCAAGTATAACCAATAATCGAGTGTAGTATAGGGTAAGCAAAGTAATAAAATTACCAAACCATGGGCCTCTAGATGTACTGTTACTTCAACTTAGGTATGTTATCTATCTAAACAAGATTTGTAATTAAGAAGCTAACCTAACCAATACTCTAGCTAATTACAAGGTTAGAAGCTCACTCAGCCAAGAATCCCCCTAGCTCCTCGATTGGACCGATGTTGAGTACTACCACAAATTGATTTACTCAATACTTCTACCACGGAGAGCTCTAATCTAGATAGTACCTCCTATTTGAGTGCATCCTATCCCACTCCATTGCGCTACCCGGAGCGGCGTACCAAACAACCGGTATAGGCAATTGAAGCAACCAAATCTTCTTCCTCTCCACTATTTGACAATAACCAATACGGAACTATAGATCATATCACACTCGTTCAAAGACCTATAGTGAAGGATTGAAGGTACTTTATTCAACCTAAGGGGATATTCTCCCTCCTAGGTCAAAAGCTCAATTGATCAAGACTCATGCAATTCATCATAAACATCAATCAAATAGATAATAGGAGCAGTCAATCATAGGATTTGTCACATACATCAACAATCCATCCAAAATTGGATTAAAGTAGTAATTGGATTAAAGTATCTCGTTTAGTATAACCATGCAAATCTAGTATTTGGCGTGTGGTATTTGGCAAAAGCATAGTAGTAAAAGAAGTTATTTTGAAATAACTCATTGCCCTAATAACTTCAGTAAACTGTTGCCAAATGAGTTATTTGTAAAATTGTCCGAATTACCCTAAAAATTGAACCATTAAAGATTAACTATAAAATTTAGTAAAATTGTGGTGACTTCAATCATAACTTACTCATTTACATATATCCTATACACTTAGCCTTACTCTCAATCGACAATATTAAGTTAATTTATGTTGTTGATCGTATACCATAAACCATCAATATATTATACACTAACAACATACTCTGTACCCAAACCATATATCCCTATGAGTTGTGATTTTGCTAGTATAGTTAATTTAAAGTGAAATTCATACTTTGTTTTTCAAAACATAGATAATAAAGTGATATTTGCTATACCCTAACCATATACAGTGGCGGATCCAGAAATTTTTTGTAGGGGTGTCATCTTCCAATAATTAAATAATACATAAATAATTAAATAATATATAAATAATAAAATATCCAATTAGTACAAATGTTTACAAAAATCCACGACGTATTTTCATATTTTGAAAAAAAATATAAGATAGATTTGGTGTCTACACTGCTCAACAAATCGGTATATCCTACTAGATCGTATATTCAATTTCTAACCTTATTTATGATGTAATTCAAAGTTGAAACGACTGTTTCAACACTTAAAGTGGAACCACAAAATCAATTCAAATTAGGGGTACCCAAGGGATAAGAAATCGTGTTTTTACCATTACATGGTGTTTAAAATAGAACAACAAATGAGTTATAACCTAATGGAGAAGATGTTCAATAATAGTAGTGTCCTAGATTTAAATAACACAAAGTACCACTTATATTTTTCTAATCATACGCAAACTACTATCGATGGTAAGATAATCGTTTATTAAAATTTTAGGGGTGTCCCAGATTACCAATTATATTTTGTTTATCCATACGAAACTACTACCGGGGGTTGTATAATCGTGTTCCCAAAATTTAGGGGTGTCCCGGGACACCCCTAAAGCACCATGTATCTGCCACTGACCATATATCATATACTCTACACCATATACCATGTACCCTAACCACATACCATAAACAAAAATTAAAAAGGGATCTCTTGTCGTTAAAGATTTTAAATAACTTCAAGTGAACATATGTTAATAAAGAATTTAGAACCTTCTAAACCATCAATGTCTTATACCCTAAACATATACACCATAAACCATCTGTACCTTATACCCTATACCCTAACCATATACTTTATACCCTAAACAACGAACCGTCAAAAATTACTTATCAAGTTTAGTATAATTGTTGGCTCATATTCACCCGCCCATAAATTTTCCATTCCAAAGTTCTCATCCAAACCTCTCTCTCATTGTCCATTCCAAAGTGACCCGTAACCCGATTAACCAAAATTTTCAAACCCGCAACCCGACTGAGTTATTGCAATCGTAAGACTTAACAGGCCAAGTGTAACACCCATTTTGAAATGAAAGTTCAACTTGAACACAACTTAAATGGGCGAAAATTTACTAAGTGTTGTAAAATAACAATCATGTAGTGTTGAAATTGCAATAAATGTAGAAGCATAGAAAACAAATAGACAAATTAAGTGAATTTTTCTATAATAAATTATTGTTGTAAACACCAAATTTGCTTTCTTCTTTATTTTTCAAAAAAAAAAAAAAGTAAAATTCCCCTCCTTCTTTCTCCTTCCATATATTAGAAATACTCAATTTTTGTAATTTCTTTAAAATACATAATATCAAGTGAGTTTCATATTTTTAAATTTCCTATACGAAATGAAGAAATAACTTTACCTAAGTTTAGAAGGAAATACTTTATTTTGAAAAACTATGTATTATATAATATAATAATTATTTAAGTGGATAGGGTGAAATTTGGATTGAGTCGGTCGGGTTGTTAGACGGGTTCGGGTCAATGGGGTATGGTTTAATCGGGTTGCGGGTTTAATCGGGTTACAGGACAGTCGACTTGCGGGTTAGTCGGGTTGCGGGTTGGGCAGGTTATGAGTTGTTGACTTTTAGTCAATTCGAGTTGCGTTCGAGTTGCGGGTCGAGTTGATCAGACAGGTTAGTCGAGTCAGGTTCTGTTTTGACACCTGTAGTCCAAACTAACATCAACTCTCACATCAGGAAAAAAATCTAAAAATGTTTTATGTTTCAAAAATAATTCCAGAACAATAACCATGAATCCTTCCAATGAGCATCACACCAAAACCAACGAAAGCAACATTCTACTCGAAATACAAAACTTTCAATTCCTTGTTTTCTAGTGCTGAGAGTCTGAGACTATCAAAGTTGGTGCCATCTGCACTCAGCGGCAGCAAAGTAAAACAAAGGATTTCGATAGACGGATAACTAGTTTTCCAACCTCCTAACATCAACATATATAGACTACTCATTGTCTTCATCCCCATCTCCAGACTCTTTCTTGGACGATGCTGATTTGATGTTCCTGCGCTTCACTCTACCAGGGTTGCCAATACCTCCAAATGGACTGGTGACTGCGAAATCAACATGCTTTTGGGAGTCCACCCTAACCATGAAAGAAGGGACATTTACCACCTGTCTCCCAACCCTGAAAACAAATAAAATAACTCTTCAAAGTTAGCTATGACATCAGGACGTAAAACAAAGCTGTTCTTCGAGAAAATGGCTGTGAACAAAACCAGGAGCAACAACGGAAAACATTCCCTTACAGAGAAGACTAAAACTAGAAACAAGATTGTTTGACAAATCTAACATTATGAACTTCGAGTTCACTGACAGACATAACTACTGTATCTATAGAAAACATAATTGCTTGTAGCAACTTTGCTAATTACAATGTGTTCTTCAATTGATTCTGTTCTATACCAGTTGGTTCTCAACTATACTTCCAAATGAGAAGATAAGTGCATATCCTTAACGTCAAATAACTTATCTAGAGGCATTTGATGAGAAAGGATTACTAACTTAACCAATGACCATTCATCAGAGGGATTTGATGAGAAGGATTACTAACTTAACAAATGACCATTCATCAGAGGGCCAAGCCATAGGAAGCTAAAACTTATTTCACGAGGTTATGATAAAAGCCCATAATCATTTCATAACCTTGAAAGCTGTTGTGATGTGAAGTAGAAGATAATGCTATATAATAAATGTTAGCAATTAAGTGCCCCGCCAATCAATCCTTTAGGAAACTCATCCACAGGGAGAAGTGAGGAACAATATATTGATCGAGGCGCTACTAAAATGCATGGTTCAGCATCTAAACCCAATTAGAAAGCAATGGGGCCCTGAGACAAGAAAATGAAACGACAAACACAAGAGTTACGAGTTTACACAACTACTTTTTCCTTACCTAATATGCCTCTGCCGGATGAGAACTCGGGCATGATGGATTGACTTGGCCATCCCTGCTTTGAACACAACTGTCTGAAGGCGGCGCTCAAGAAAGTTCTCAACAGTCAGGGCCAAAACGTAATCAAGCTTGTTCTGGCTCTCGTCCAAAAGACCATACTTATTCATCCTCCTAAGAAGAGCTTCACCCTCAAAAATTCTACGTGGGTTCTTCTCATCAAGGGTCAAAAGCATTCTTGCAGCGTTACGGATGCGGCTTAGTGCATACTGCACCCTCCAGAGTTCCCTCTTGCAGCGGAGCCCATACTCTCCCACAAGTTTCAGCTCAGCATCTAAACGCTCCTTCTCGTATGGACGCCTAGGCTTCTTAAAGGTTTTCCCATCTGCCCAGAAGAATTAAACAATTGTGAGTAACTTAGTATACAATACCCATGTTATTACACCTGAAGATACAAGCACATTGATAACATTCATTCACAAAAACAAAGCCCATTGAGGTTGTTCAATCACACTGTAAAATGGTGCTACAGCAGGACTGTTGTGAAATAACTTCACGCAGTGTAAGCACAGCCACAACCCATATGGTTGATTCTCCACTAAGCACCAGACCTAAAATGTCCCCAGCAAGAAGCCTCCTCCCCAAAATATCGAATTTGACTACTAGATAGAACCCATTTCTCTTCCCCCGACACATTTTACTTCTAAGAAAACATCAATCAAGTCCTAATGTAATACATCTTTTGCGCCCACAACTAAAGGTTCGTAGAGAAAGTTATCGCCCAGACTTAAAAACTAACTGTTCAAATCACAAGAGGCGCAAGGAAAGAGCACCAAGTTTCGTGAAAGCGTGAGCTTTATCATAATTACCGAAAGAAAATCACTACAGATTAAGATGTCCACAAATGGCACGATCAAATCAAAGCGAATCGCAGGATAGTCATTGAGAAAGCAAGTCCCATAAAAACAAAACGGATCCTCCCAATAACTAAAATGGCGGAAAGAAAACTCACAGTTGCGGTAAAACGCGACGTGAACCATCTTTGCTCAGCTACCTCCTTCTTGACCTCTTGAGCAATTGTCCGATATCAGCTAAGCTCTCGCCGCCACCGTTAAAAAATCTGAAACCCAGATGAAGCAGAGGCAGAACTCGGCAGCCGTTTAACGGTTTTTATATCTGGAAGAGAAACAATAAACCCTAGCTGCAGCCGTTGGGCCGACAAGTTTTAACGTAAGCCCAATATCTTGCTTTTCTTTCTTAGGCCAACCAAGTGATCAAATTTATTTGGGCCGATATTAAACCAGCCCAATAATTTTGTTCTCCTCCTGACCTCGACGGTTTCTCTTCCTCCGTTCCTCGTCTCTGCCAGTCTGCCTGGCTATATTTTGCCTCTCTCCAGTGGAACGAGCTCCTGAAGAATCAGAGAAAAAAATGCAAACTTTCCAACGGATGGCAGGTTTTGCTGCAAAGGAAGCGGCTTCGGGAAGATATGGAATTGGGGCGCTCGGGATCCGGAATCCAAGTTTCAGCTTAGCTGCCTTGCTTCCGAAATATCTATCCACCAAGGGCGGCGGAGGCGGAGGAGACGATGAATGGAACGATGCCTGGGAAACAGCCTGGCTTCCTGATGATCTGAAGGGTAAAGACCGAGCGCCGTGGGAAACAGACGTGAACTTCCCGGCCGCAGAAGCATCGACGGCGGAGATGTCACCGGAGCTGGACTCGGAGGCCAAGGCGTTCGTGGAGGAGATGAATGAGAACTGGGACCAACGGCGGGGAATCGGGAAGACCCAGAGGAAGGACGCGGAAGATGGAGAGAAGAATGACGGGAAGGAGAGCGGGAAATCGAGTGGTCTGTACAGTTTGGAGAACATGAAGAAAGATTACCGACTGAAGAAGCAGAGGATTCACGCCGGGCTGTGGGTTAAGGAGATCGAGAAGCTGCAGGAAGCGAAGCTTGCGGAATCGGGAGCAGGGGCCGCCGATGATATCGATAGATTGCTCGATAGTTACTCCGAGTATGTAGTTGTTGTTTCATTTTGTGAATGTCGAATGCCCGCCAACTGTTTGATTAAATGCCTCACTCGGGATTTGCAGGATATTTGATACGACGAATGCCGACTTGGATGGCACCAAGATCCCGAATTCTTCCGCTGAGCTGAAAAACAAGCCCGATGGCTGGGAAACGACATCGAAAGCTCCTGATGGGAATGTATGGGACATGTCACAGAGGGAAGAAGACATTCTCCACCAAGAATTTGATCGCCGAATAGCTTACTGCAAATTCCAGGTGGGCACACGCTTAACATTAGAAATTTTTTGGAAGTTGCTCTGCATTGTTTTTCTTACACTGGTTGTTTGGTTGGTTGGTTGGAGACTGCAGATCGCTAGCTTTATAAAGAGCCACATATTTAGCAGGAGAAGACCCATTGATGGGTGGAAGTACATGATCGAAGTCGTTGGACCAAATGCTAGGAAAGGGAAAGGTAGCGTTTCAAGAATCCCAGCTCTATCGGATCCATCAACTCAGCCTTTCAAGGAGGAGAAGACCCAGATTCGAGGCAGCTTGGAACCCTCAAAGCACAGACAATTCACTGCCTGAGTTTCTGTTTTGTATTTTGGTGTGTCCTGAAGGTATGGGAAGGATCAATCATGATCGATGCATTCTTGAAATTCGGGCTGCATCGAGGAGCTGGTGCTTGTTGACGAGTTGTAATTGAGATTCTGAAGGATCATTTTGTTCTGAGAAAAGCAATTGCGATCTGATGGGCAAGCATCATGTTACAACCCATATCACAAAACTTCCATGTCCCTGGCATTCTAGATTACCAAGGTACTATCGACCCCAATGACCATATTAACACTTTCTACTGGAAAATGAAAACTTTTAAAGGGTTTGAGATGCTACTATGTGCAAAGCTTCCTCACTTGCTTTACAGGCTCAGTACATGTGCTTATAAGATAAGCTTATCGGAAGGTTCGAGGCTTCGAGCATTGTCATTTTTTTTTTTTTTTTACTTCTTCTAAACAAGTTTTCGGCTCATTCACTTCGAAACCATGACCCCTCAAGTCCTAGTCAAAACAAGACTACATCGGGCAATCTTCAAAACACTTCTACAAGTAGCCGCCACGCCTATACAGAAAGGCGTTGTAGACAACTTTGTTGTGATAATGTCGAGTAGAGTTACATTTTGTTTCTGAAGGAAAATTAGAAGCGGAAGAAAAGTTTTTAACATAAGGGGGAAAATTCCCGGTAATTACATAAGGAAAATTTGATAAGGGGAAAAGTAATAGAAAATGTTGTTTTATGAGTAAAGCGAGGAAAAGTGAAAGAGGAAAAACATATTGAAAAGTGTGATATATATGTTATTTTATTGATTATTTAATAGTAAATATATGGAAATGATACGATGAATAATCCATTTCTGTCATAGTCACTTTTATTATTTTTTTTAATGGAGCATATATGATTTGTTTTAACTAGATTTAACTTTTTCGGTAAAAAAATGGATTACCTTACTCTCTAAAAGATGACATTCATTCTAGAAAACAATTCATACTTTGATGCTTGTTTTACGTTCCACGTAACAGTTTTACATGTCGCGTAAAACAACATTATGCGAGACATAAGTTAGTGACTCAGTGTTATATTTCATTTAGTGTTACATGGGACGTGGAGTAGGCAATACCTAGTAATATCAGTTCTTAACAATTGGTTAAATTTCATTCATCAAATGATTGTGATACAAGCTCGACCTATTACAGCAAAGAGGAAACTAAGTTCAGAATTTGAATCAATTCGTAAGGAAGAGAACCTCTCATTGTTTCTTTCACTACCCAATAAGCACATTTGTTGTTCCTTTTATCAGTAAAAGTGACCATAATATGATGGTTTTGTGATAAAATCTGCTTCATATAGTGAATCCAAGCCTTAACTTGTCACGGCCAAGATCTGATCTGATCCAATAAAATGTTGATGATGGTTTAGCAGTCAAAGAAGACAAACGTAGACAAACCAGAATCTTGAGTCATCTTCAAACTTCAAAGTATTCCATAAAGTCTTAACTTCCGCCACAATCGCTGAAGAACAAAAAAGGGTTCCAGCCTTTTTCACCAATTACTTGTCGATGGTGATTGCGAACAACACCACCATATGCCGCCACCTGGGATTCCGAGACAAAGTTCCATCACAGTTTATCTCATGCTGGAAATAATTAGGTTGTAGATCAAGGATTGACAGGATGGAATAGGCTGAGAATGAGAAGAAGAAGTTGGAGGCACTTCCCGGACACTCCATTCATTAAAGCATCTGAAAGCCTTAGCAGAAATTGATTGGAGTCGCGGTCGAACACTTTTGAACATATATTCATTTCGAGCATTCCAAAGGGCCCATAGATGAGCCACCACTGCCACCAAAGAGTTGTTGGGGATCACTTCATTGAGATTTAAGATCCACATAAGGATCGAGAAGGTGTTATGAGACAGAGGGATATCTGCAAAACCATCCTGTCAAAAGTGCATGGCATCGGGACATCCAAACATGTAGTGCTACATATCCTCACTGCCACCATCACACAACATGCAAACCGTTGAGTTAATCACGTTCCGAAACCAAAGACTTCTCTTTGTCACCATTGCATTTATTGTGATCCTCCCAATGAAGTTCGGGATCTTTGGTGGAAGGGATAAGCTCCAAAGCCATTTCCAAGCTTTGATGGAACAGTCTGGGTGATTCGGGTCCTTAGAACCCTTCCTAGTTTTGTCGATATGAAGATGTGGTAAGCCGACTTGACTGAAAATGCTCTTGGTTTCTTTGGATGCCACACATACGAGTCCTCAATATCACTTGAACCAATTGGGATCCTCTTGATTGCTCGATTTCTTCCGGAAGACAAGATTGTTCAATAAGATCCAAGTTCCATTTGTCTCGTTATACTCCCATAGTTCTCAATCATTTTTATTGATAATGATTGCTTCGGACATTGAGGCTTTCCTATACAAGATCGTATCATCTGCAAACAACACAGGTGTGAGTCTAGGACAAAATGGATTAAGGGTAAATCATTGGATACTATCGTTAGTCACATTCTTATTGATAAGGAAGGATAAGACATTAGTTAGTAAAATGAAAAGGAGGGGTGAAAGGGAATCTCCCCGACGAAATACCTCTAGAAGGTTCAGATAATGGACTTGGCTGTCCATTGAACATCACTGAGAATCTCACTGATCTAATACAGACTCTTACCCATGAGCACCATTATTGTGTGAAACCCATAACTTTCATAATTTCATCTAGACAATCCCAATCCATCATATATCAAACGCATTTTTTCTTGTCAAGGTTCAACATCATATCTCACTGTCCTCCTTTCAGCCGAGTTTTGAAGTGATGTATCACCTCATAGACAATAATAATATTATCTTAAATATTTATTCCTCCCATGAAAGCTTATTGCATTTCATATACAAGCTTCATAATCCATTCATTTAGTTGATATGTTATAATTTTAGAGATCACTTCATATCTGCAGTTGCACTAGCTATTCATTCTGAAATAAGAGATTCTTTCAGGATTCAGGATTTTTGGAGTAAGCACTAAGTGAGTATCATTCCATCCCTGCTCCATCGTGCCTTCCAAGAAGAATTTTTTAATTTCATCACACAGTTTTTGACCAACAGTATCCTAATACCTTTTGTATAACATCCCACGAATATCGTCTCACCCAGAAGATTTAGAAGAGTCTAGATCAAACACTGCTTCTTAAATTTCCTTGTCATCCACTAGTTTGCAGAGAGCTTGGTTATCATGATCTTCCACTAGACACGGAATCTCACGAATCAACTCGAATTTAAACCTCTCCTCCCTTTTCTTAAACAAGTCAATGTAGAAGTTCATCACATAATCTTGGAGGGGTCCCTTTTCCTCAATCCAGTTATTCCCATCATCCAAAATCTTAACAACATTGTTCCTTACGCTTCTTTGAATTGTTGTATTATGGAAGAACCTTGTATTCTTCTCCCCCTATCAAGCCATCAAATTCTCGATCATTGTCGCCAAAAGATTTCATCTTCTGTCGACACTTGTTCAATTCCATCTTCAGAATCATCTCTTCCACTTAGTAGGAATGGATCTGAGTCCACTCAAGGATCACTTTCAGTCGATCCTCAATAAATTTTATCCTCACCGCCACGTTAGCAACATTATTCCGACTCCACAAACCAAGCTCACAGCTACACTTGGCTAGGTAGGATTGATGGTCTCCTCCACCGACCCAAACTCTTTTAATTGAGGACTCATAGTCTTCATAATCAGAACAACGGTAATTGAATCTAAAAGTAGCTATTTTATAAGACTGAATACCCATCATATCTAGTCTCAATGGGAAGTGATCGGAACCCGTCATAGGTTCATTGAAAATAATCACATTGCTGAAAGCTTCCCTCCAAGACAGAGAGCAAATTCCTCTATCAAGACAAACCAAAATGTTTCGTTATCCTTGTTTCATATTCGACCAAGTAAACCTTGGTCCTTTGAAATCAATATCCTTTTCGGGAAGAGGTTTCATTATCCTTGTTGCATATTTCACCCCAAAACGTGTCTTGTCAGTTAAGGTCAATTTCCTACTTATGAACCATGGATCTCTCTCATTCTTTGTCGATGTGGGATTTGCCTAAGATGTTAAATACCCCCCCCCCCCCCCCACCCTTGGGACTCAACACCCTCGTTGATGTTTGCCCCACCATCGTTCAAGAGGGACGCGAAGAGGCTCTGATACCACTTGTAACATCCTGAACCTTTTCCCGACAAGATATTGTGCGCTTTGGGCATCTATACCCGCACAGATTTCGACTTGGGGTGCAATTCAGGATGACTTCCCATAAGGTAACTCATCCTTGCTGTACTCCACACTGAGCACGTTTAACTTTGGAGTTCTCCCAAGAACTCATTCATTTCACCCCAAAACGCGTCTTGTCAGTTAAGGCCGGTTTCCTACTTATGAACCATGAATCTCTTTCATGCTTTGTCGATGTGGGATTTGTCTAAGGTGTTACAGCGGAGTAGTTATCTTTAGTTTTAATTTCAACAGTGCACGGAGTATTCTTGGGGATGCTCGAACGGGGAGAAAAAGGTGAATGGTGCCCACCTTGTGTCCAGTCGCCATAGCGACCTCCCACTATATCCTCCGGAGTGACTGATCAATTGGGAGTGACTGATCTGCCCACAGTAGTAGCAGAAATTTGCCAAGAGTCTCTTGTATTTGAATTCAACCCAGATGTCAGGGGGTGAATCATATTGGAGGAAGAACCCAAGAGCCAGAGGATGAGTTAGATCTATGCCCACCAGAACCCTGATGAAGCAAATATATCTTCTTTACGCTACACCCATTTCATCGCCCCTGATAATTTCATCAAAGATTTCATTCAAGAGAGTTGCAACGTTTTTCTCGAATCTGAGCTTTTCTAGGAAGTTAAGGAATTGAACCCAGATTATGATTTTTTTTGAAGTTTATATCTTCGACTTTGATTTTGCCCTTTCCTTTCATATCCACGAGCACTTGGAGAGAATTCACAATTTTTCAAGGGCATGCCTCCCAGATTTTCTGCTTCTCCTCCCCGAATTTGAAGGAGATGTTGAAAGTATTAGTTCCCAGTTCGACCACCGCATGCTGCCTTATATCCCTCCAGTTTGTGCTCAAGGTAAGCTCCATAGCACCCGCTGAGAATTTGTTGTCAGTAATCAGCTTACCCACCAAAATCTCACAAATTTTTCTCTCAATTTCATTCTTTTTTGGATTGAACCAAAGGATGGAATCATAGATTCCAAGGGATTAAGTTTTTTGGAGGATATCATTGGTGCATGATCAGCCATTTTTATCCAGAAAGAAATAGAGAAGGGAATATCACAGAGGGCTTTTTCTTGATCAGA